GTCACTTCTTATAAGGGCAGTAACCCCATCTTGGGGCCCCATCCTCATGACCTTACGGCGTAACCCTAATTACCTCCCAAAGGCCCCCCCTTCAAATGCCATCACACTGGAGTTAGGGCTTCCACTTATGAACTTTGGGGCTGGGGAGAATGACACCATCAGTCCATAGCGATAGCAAACCAAGGGCTTCTTACTCCACAGGAAAAAGAAACTGACACCTTTCATAGCATTTTCTGGCTTATTTTATAAACTATTGTAGCACATTTTTTTCCCTGAAGGGGATATAAAGCTTCATTATTTCCAACAGCCAATGGCAGAATAAGGTTTCCATCCTGAGCCCTTCCAGGATGTAATAACAGCATCTGGATGTCGATTTATTCATCACAAGGATCATCAGGCTTTCCCACAGAAGGCCTCCCTTTAACCCTGTCCTCCCCAAGAAGCTGACATAGCAATAGTACAGGAAGGCCTGGCAGCTTCTTGAAACTTCTTTATTTTAAATTCAGCTATTTTCACCCTAAATCTTAATGTCCTTCTCTTTTCATTTAATTTTGTAATCTATTATAGGACTAATAAAATAACATTTGAAGGACATCAGGCACTAAGTGGGGAATCATTTTATTATTGATTGTGTCTTTTTTTCAAAAGATAACCTTGTTTTCTTTTCAATGTATACAAATTATTTATGTTCAGTGGAGAAAAAAAATTAACACATTTAAACACATTTAAAAATTAACACATTTAAGAGGGAGAAAAGCACCCATAATCCTAAAGCTGCTTTTAGAATGTGCTCTTTGTAGACGTTTCATATAACCAAATATCGCCCTGTCTACAGGTGAATTTGTATGTGTGTATATGACATGTAAATTCACGCACTCCTGCGTCATTAACACTCCATTCCAGTTCCAGTGGTCAAGCGGCGGGAGATGCTAGTCAAGTTGTCTTGCTGTTTCCTGCCACGATGGCGATGAACACCTGTTATGAGAACGGGGAAGACTTCAGACAGTGTTTACTTTGAAAACATAATTAAGCATAGCCTGAAGAGCAGCCCCCAGGAGCCAAGAGGCCCAGGAGGGGTCCCAGCTCCTTGACCCACTGTTTCTGTGAAATTGGACCCTCTGATGGGCCTCGATCCTCTTATCCATAAAGCCAAGGGCTTCCACTGTGATCTCTGTAAGATCCCTTCCAAATCTCAGCTCCTGCGACCTGGAGGCCATACACTGTAATGCAAGCTGAAATCGCCGTGGCTGCCTCTGTTTCTCTGCTTTTGAGGCACCCCGAGCTGTTCTTTCCCTTAGGAAAGTCAGCTGTATGGTTGGAAACACCGACCTCAGCTGCTGTTATAACTCTTCCACAGGTGCCGACATCCACGGAGACCCAGGCTTCCCAGGCCCTCCTGGGGACAGAGGCGACCCAGGAGACGCCAACACCCTTCCAGGCCCTGTGGGAGTCCCAGGACAGAAAGGACAGCAAGGAGCACCAGGTGAGGCCACACATTCCAAAGCCAACATTGCTGTCCCCATAAGCAGAACCCACCCAGAGGTGGGGCCATGGAGTGTCTGTGGGGTGGGAGAGGCTGCTCAGAAGTGCAGGAAAGAGCTGGTTTTTCTGGGGAGGACTACCTGTTGCAGAACCTGTCAGCTAGTCTTAGTTTGTTAGGCAATTTATTTCTTCCCATCTGTGTTGGTGAGGCACTGACCAGCCATCGCGAGGAGTAACTGATAAGCTCCCTGGCCTAGAGACCCCGTCAGATCCCTCCGTGTGCCCGGGGCACTGGCACAGGCCTTGCCATAACAAGCACTCTGGGTAGTGAATGCGCGAATAAATAAATGCATTAAACCTCCCAGCAGAGCCACGCTGAACCATACTTGGGTAGGAAATAACCAGAAACCTGTCTTCCCACCCCATAGCCTCCCTGCTCACCAGTCAAGGTGGGCTCAAGTCTAAATGGCAGTGAGAAACACTCCTAAATAAAAACAGAAACCAGGACCTTCCTGGGAACCAGTGTGCTAAGGGTGTTGTGGTCTCGTTGTGCATGAGCCCACAACCCCAGAGTCTGTTTCTGAGATCAGTGGGCCTCTCCCCCACCCCACCCACCTCACCAGCCCGACCAGGTGCATCTCCTGGCTCAGGTATGGGAGCGGGGCAGCACACCTGGACGGACAGTCTGGGCACCCTGGGCTCCATGGTGGGAACAAAAACTCTGGCTTCCCTGCACAAAAGCCTGAGTTTTTCTAGTGCCAACTCCCCGTGAAGCTAGAACCAGACACTCACAGGAAAGGAAGTCAGAACCAAGGAGGCCAGCAACCCTGACTTTTCCTGGGGTGCAGGGATATCTCAAGGCTTGCAGATCACATCTGACTCTCCAGGATCTGCTGCCTGCCCTCTCCCCTCATCAAGAGCTAGAAACTCCGGAATCCCCTAGCCTCAGAGCTCCACAGCACTGATCTGAAGATAGGAGAAAGAGGAGGGGTGCTGCCAACAGGAGCCAGACTATCCTGGGAGGCTGCATGGTGCTGCCAGAGCCCTAGTCAGGGTGAGGATCCAGGACAGTACACCAGCACAGCCTCAGCCAGGGATGGGGATCTAGGGTCAGTCCACCAACACAACCTCAGTCAGAGTTGAGGATCTAGGGTCAGTCCACCAGCACAGCCTCAGTCAGAGTTGCGGATCTAGGGTCAGTCCACTAGCACAACCTCAGTCAGGGATGAGGATCTAGGGTCAGCGCACCAGCAGAAGCTCCACCCAGGAGTGAGGATCTAAGGTGACTCCACCAGCACAGCCTCAGTCAGGGGTGAGGATCTAGGGTCAGCGCACTAGCACAAGCTCCACTCAGGAGTAAGAATCTAAGGTCAGTCCATCAGCACAGCCTCAGTCAGGGGTGAGGATCTAGGGTCAGCGCACCAGCAGAAGCTCCACCCAGGAGTGAGGATCTAAGGTGACTCCACCAGCACAGCCTCAGTCAGGGGTAAGGATCTAGGACAGTCCACCAGCACAACCTCCACTCAGGACTGAGGATCTAGGTCAGTCCACCAGCACAGCCTCAGTCAAGGGTGACGATCTAGGATCAGTCCACCAGCATAAGCCTCCCAGGAGCCCAACAGTAGAGTTGACCGTGCCCATGACCTTTAAATCAGACACCTGTTGGGTTCCTGTTCTGCATCTCACATGCGCCATATTTTCACCATGGGACCTTGGCCATGGTATTGAATGTCTCTGGCGTTGTCTGTAAAATGAGAATAAAAATGCGCTTGTGAGTGTTGGGAGGATACAATGAGATACTACAGGCAAAGCTCTTGCACACAGGAGGCCAGCAATAAATGTCTGCTATTTTTAAAGGCCTCGAAACAGCATTGTTTTCAGAGTGTCATGATGATCACTTTACCAGTCAGTCACCTGAAAGCCATCTGGGAACTCAGCAATGGGGAAGGCTTGGCCAGGAGATGTGGAGAGGAGATCCGGCACAGGGAGGGGCGGAGGAAACTGAGATGGGATTTCGACAGGGTGCACACAGTGGGCCGTAGAGGGGGGTCACAGAGCACAGCTGCTGGCATTTCGCATGACCATGCATTTTTAAAGTTTGATTCACACAGCATGATGTTCAGGCCCTGTACTTGACCACAAAAAAAAAATTAAGATTTCCATCCCCAAGGGCAGAAATTTACCTCATTTATTTTCCACTTACACCTCAGCAAAATGCTTGTCCCTGAGTGAGTGCTCAACAAATACTTGTTGGAGAAGAATATTGTGAAATTGTAGGATAAGTTTCTGACATCAGTGGAGCGTTATATGTAGCTCGGAACACCCCTAAGGTAACATTGATGGCCTTATTACACATTTGATCTGTGTGGGACCCATTTATCTAAACTCTATGTGACCTCCTGTGGCACTCCCTGCATTCCATCCCAGGGACCTGGACGGTGTCCCCGGCTTCCAAGCCACCGTGAGGCATATTGACTTTTATAAGCCATGCCCCCACCCTCGACCTGCACGAACATCACAGTGGGCCCATGAGCTGATGACTTCAGAGCAGGTCCTGGAGACCAGAGCAGACACTGCCCAGTGCCACTGGGCCTTGGCATATGAGGCCACTGCCTCTGGCTAGTGATGAGGGAAAGACGACTTTCCATGATGATGTTCACACACTGATACAATGTCATTCAGGATACACACTCTTCTCTGAAAATATGGGAATAATTTGAATCCATTATCTTCCTTTGCATGAGTTGCATCTCATTTGTGTTAGTTCATTCTCATGCTGCTTTGAAGAAATACCAGAGACTGGGTAATGTATAAAGGAAAGAGGTTTAATTGACTGACAGTTCTGCATGGCTGGGGAGGCCTCAGGAAACTCACAATCATGGCAGAGGGGGAAGCAAACACGTCCTTCTTCACTAGCAGTAGGAGAGAGAAGTGCCAAGTAAAGGGTGGGGGGAAGCCCCTTATAAAACCATCGGATCTCGTGGGAACTCACTATCAGGAGAACAGCATGATGATAGCCACCCGCATGATTCAATTACTTCCCACCAGATCCCTCCTACGACATGTGTGGATTATGGAAACTACAAGTCAAGATGAGATTTGGGTGGGGATACAGCCAAACCATATCACAGTTCACTGAAGCTAGAATTTGCAGCCTCACCTGTGTCTGCAGCTGACATTCAAGCATCAGTTCCTGATTTGGCCTTGAGTCACGCAACATGGCCCTTCATGGAACCCCTGTTAGACTTTTTTATGTCAGTACTTAGGACGATCCGTGGGGGCTACTGAGAAATCTTGGTGGTTTTCATCTAGATTCCAGCAAACTGACTCATGTTTGCTAAATGTTCTCATTAACAGAGTCCTCATCACTGCAGTTAAGTTAATTATGTTTTCGTGGGAATCTGCCAGTCTGGGGATTGCACTGGATCATCTAACTCAGGAGTCGGCCATTATTTACTGACACTCACCATCTGTTTCGGGGAGTTTGTGACAATAGCTAGAAGCAGTTCAATTGGTGTCATTTTATATCAAACCACAGATGGTGGCTCACTCATGCCCTCAGGGCTAATGAACCCACTTGCATGTTTGTGATTTGTGAGACAAGCCTCACCTCTCTCAATATTTCTCCTGCTGTTTGTTTTGTCCTACTTGGAAGCACGCATGAATGGAATCCTTTCCCATGGGATGGATAATAGATACCAGGATCTTCCAAAGGGAAAATCTCTTCCTGCTACTGATGGGTATAGATTAGTCGTAAAGTCAGAGAGGAAACAGAAAACCACTGCTGCTATGTTTTCTCATTTTTCTAGATTTGCACTGTTTGGCCCAGCTCACTCTCCTGCAGAGCGGAAATGATGCTCTCCTTGCCCACTTGGACATTCGGACATTTTGCAGGGTTCTAATACTAATGTTGGTCCCCAGCCCTTCCGGAAAAACAAAAGACTGCAGGTGGTTAGGAGAGAAAGTAGACTTAATCCGCCCAGACTTAGGTCCACACTGATTTCTACCCACCACTGCCCTACAGCACATAAAGCTCCATTAGTGTCTTGTTGGCTGACAGCACAGGAAGGAGTGGAATTTCCACAGATTTCCTTATGTGGCCATTTCTCTCTTACTCCCCTACTAGTGCCAAAGAGCTCCAATCTTTGACCCAAAAACTGTTGGTTCTCGTTACTCACC